AGAGAGAGAGAGAGAGAGAGAGAGAGAGAGAGAGAGAGAGAGAGAGAAAGATGTTGTACGAGGCTCCCATTCGGCGCCACGTCCCGGATGTCGCCGTCCAACGGCTGCGGCGTTACTTCACCGCCTTTCGGATAACAAACGTCGACCCGAAGCAACCGATAACACGCGGTTGCACAAATTTTTTAGGACCCGCCGTTTTATCCACTGTAAATTTCGTCGATGGAACCGGGTGGCTACGAAATACCGGCCGACCGAACGGTGCCAAGGAATTTACGAGCGGCCGCGTGGATTTAGTGTCGCAGATACTGCGCGAAAAAACATGCGAAACGGTTTCGCGAAAATAGATTGTAACGTTTACTTTCCTTTTTTTTACGACTATGGAATATGTCCCGTGCGATGCGCGGTGGCGGGCGAGAGTTGCCGCACTCACCTTTCTCCACGCACTCGGCCACGCAGTCTCGCACCGTCGATCCTTCGCTGACGTATTTCTGAAACAAACAAGATTAATCGTTAGATCAACACAAAACGATTGGTAAAAGCCCGTCGTTGAGCGCCGGTAATTTGCAACGGCGGAAAACGACGAGAGTAATGATGAATGTCGTCGTGCAATTTGCGGTTTTTTTTTCACGCGCGACGCGCCACCGGAATAACGGCGAATATTTTATCCGCCGCGGAATGATACGCGCGTCCACGCGCCGCTCGCGCACACGGCCAATAAATCTGCCTCGGTTATCGAGTGAGAATCGGGACGAACGTTTCATCTGTCAATATTGTTTTGTACAATTCCCCAACGTGCCCCGTGGCCACGCGCAAAAATGGGGGGGGAAAAAAGGACGCGCCCCGCACAATTCGAAATTCTTTCCACGGGGAATGAAATATGATACTCGCGTCCGCGCCTGTAACGAGAACGGAAACGGGCGGTAGTACGATTTCGTGTTACACCATAAACGCGCGAAATGTATCGCGGTGTCATTCTTCGAGCGATCTCGCGCGGCCATTCCGATATTCCCGATCGTGAAACCCAATTTCGAAAATTCCGATGCGGAATATTCTGATTTCCGAGTGGTCATATGCGAGGCAGAGTTGCAGGACGAGCAGGAACGACAAGTACGCGGCTATGATCCTTCAGCAGGCCCTGATTGGTCAAACGGCAAGTCCCTCGAAGCCGGAGTACGTCATGTAGCGCCGGATGATCGATACTCGACCATTATAACGCCCCGAGGATGTCGTACATATTAAACCCTCCAACTCTGCCTCCCTTTCTCTCTCCTTCTCTCTCTTTCTCTCGCTTTCTCTCTTTCGTAGTTATTAAACTCCCTTTGCAGATTGCAAGAATTTCGCATTGACGATGCTCGCTATTGAAACGTTCTGACCGCCAAAACAGCGTGAGAATGAAAACGTTGATTGTCCGATACTTCTTTTCAGAGCTCGAACGGTATTCCTTTATTTCGTTCGTCTCTCTGAACTCGCATCCACAAAATCGGTCGGTATTTCTTTATTACGTCAGACGCATGTTGCTAGCACACGGACGAAAGTACTGACCGATTACAGCATCTCTTTGTGACGATCTTCCGGAGAGCGGACGTGTTCACTTGTCTGCGTAAAATTTTTAGCGCCACGGAAAATCCGGCGTTGATTGATCTGGCGCGAATTTTTGCAAACTGTGAATTCAACGAACAATAAATCCGTAATGAAGTCGTTCGAAGAACACTGCGAAGAAATTTATTTCGCAGCCGTGCGCCGAATTCAGAAATAATTATGATCTTCTTATTACAATCGGCGATATCGCGACGACTACAGGTGCACTGGGGACGAAATATTTTCGAAATAAAAAAATAGAAAAAAGATTAATATCCAACTCCGCTTGATCGCGGTTGAAATATGACTACACGTGGACGACATCATGAAAATAATGAGCGATGCTTACACGAGGACCGAACGAAGGGCGGGGAAACGGAATTAACGGGAGTGAGAGCCGCCGTAATAAATGTTAAAATCACGAAACTGTATTTAGCCGCGCGCGTTTAATTGCGACAATTTAAACAGTGAGCAGAAATCATTTTACACGTTCGTCCCACCGCGAGTGGATTCGCGTGGGTGGACACGCGATCATCGATCGATTCTCATCACGCGAATTTCGTTCCCGGGACACGACAAACTGCTCGTTGGAAAGACCCGTAGTCAGCGCGTATAGAATTAATTTAGCCCTTAACTAGCCTGATGAGCTAGTCTTCCATAAGAAATGCATGTATTATTCCTGAGGGCCGGGTTTATTCCTAAGCGCCTCATCTGACGATTTCTTGCCCTCAGCTGAGATTACCACCGAGATGCATAATTAAACGGGACATATAATTAACGAAGAAAGTTATTTTATCATGGAAAAATTATATTCATACTCCTTTTGACACATTTAAGAACCATGATAGCTTCGAGCAACTTTAAAGGCGCCAAATCGATGACGATAAATAGATGGATAAAATACCTATATGACTTACATTGCGATTGGCTATTTATTTTTTTCTAACTCTCAGCCAATACGTTTCTTTAAATTATAATTTGTTTAGTAACATCTTTATGGCTCACCAAGTGAAATTTACGGAATAAGTTTTCGTCTCTGCGTCGGAAGAATCTTCATTTTTCCTCTCGTGAATATTTAATCTGGAAATGCAAGTAAAGTAGAAAAAAGGCGAGAGAGAAAAAAAAGAGAGAGAGAGAAAAAACAGCGAAAAAAATGCTAAACGACAGAAGCAGGCGGCGTGCCGAAACGAAATGTCGGTCTTTAGAGGAGAAATTTGCGAAGTATTTTGCAAAAGCTGTTTTTATCGTTTTTTTTCTATGCGATATTATGTGGAGATAGATACATTGGTGGCGAAACACAATGGGCTTGACTATGCGTTACTGATTTATTGCGTCTTTTTTATTTTCAAACGATAAGCTTTATCGAGCACGGATTGCGACTTCCCGTAGCAAAATGCGCATTACAGCGCGGCAGCGAGAAATACCTGACTTCCAATCTCAAAAATGAAGGTCACCGATCGATTTCCTCTGTTCGTTAACGATAATAGCATATCCTGTGTTTGAGAGATTTAAAGAACAGGAATACATCCAACTCTCTTTTTACGCGTTTTTTTGCGCGTTTTTTACGCGATTCTTTTTAAGCGGTTTTTCAAAAAATATTTGTAATCCTTCGTATATATGTGCAGACGTTAATTTTAATAATAAATTAATAAAAATTTTTTAATTGGACACACATGTTCTTCATTTATCAGGTTAAAAAAGCGAGTAATATCCTAGACAGACTACATTTTTCAATCATTGTTGTAGCTTCAATCATATTTCAGCAGTTCGATTGTTATTGTCAATCATGATTCTCGATTATCATTCATAAAGTTGTTCGTTCACCGTTATATTCTCTTCAAACTCAGTCATGTAAACAACTTTCGGTACAAAACAGCGTGTGTGCATATTTTCCCTCTTTTATAAAGTTCTAGAAATCATGCACACACACACACACACACACACACACACACATGGCATATGCATCTTCAACCGAAGAGGGTATGCGTTTTAAGTTAGAAGCTTAAAGTTCTGTGCAATTGCTTCAGTTCGGTCTTTCTGATAGTACCTGATTTTTTTATGTAGGTTTTCCAAATAACGCAATTTCTCCTTACACAGAACTCTATCACGTAAAAAGAGAGTTGAGTGTATATTAAGTCCATAATCCGTAAGCTCCTTGTTGCGCAGGGTTATTTAATGACTTACGCAAGGTATTGTGGTTAAGATACGTGTAATTATAAGTCTTGAATACAATAGGCAGTGTGTCTTTTGGAAAAGGTAATGCAACGAACGAAGCTTTATACACACTGCAACGTAACGAACGAACGACAAGACAGGTAGAGTACATAGATAGTGAGAGTATATAGTGAAACGCAGTAAGCGCTCACGCAACGGAACTTTAATTTTCCCTAGCATGCGTGGCGTGTCTGTGCGAACATAGAGGCGCTTCAAGGCGCTAGAGCGCCATATTCAACACTCCTCTTTAAAATCATTCGCTTTAAAATGTCTTTATAAAACGCTTTGTAAGTTATGGATTTAATCCATTTTTGCTCCGAATCCTTAATTTCATATTAGAATTATCAAGCTTAAGAGCGCGCACGCGAGAAAAAGAGAGAGAGAAGAAAATAAAAAAATTTGAACGTTAATTATTCATTAGTATTATTAGCGTTATAATTGGCATGAAAACAGTCGAGTATCGACAAAATACGTTTGCATTGAGTGTATAGCTGACTCTTAACTACCCATACTTCTCGTATATCGGAAAGAAGCTGTCCTCGAGCCTCGAGTAAAGATGCGAGCATCGATACCCGAGAGCCCCAAGACGTTGCCTATCACTATTCCTTATCGCTTCCTACCGGTTTCAAGTCGCAGCTTTAAGTGCTTCTCAGACGTTCTCAGACACTTGAAAAGCGATCGCACCCGCCTCGCCTCGCGTTGACGGCTGCTACTTGAAACCGGAAATTGAGAGTCGGCAATCGCATCGGCGGCCCGCCAGAGAACGGAGAGGATGTAGCTGGAAAAGTTCGTCGGAGCATCCGGTGTGTGCGAGGGGAACGAGAATTATTTTCCTGCTTATCTCGCGCTTACCTCGCGAACGAGTGCCGACGTAACGCCAACCCGAAGCGTCGCTTGACGAAAGAAATTCAATGAGAATGAGAATCGAATTTCTCAGACTTTGCTATCACATTTTGCGTCGAATTTTAGTTTAAAAGAAAATTGTTATAAATGAGAAAGGCAGAGGTATATAATGAATCGAGATATAATAAATTATTTATATGTGTTGAGGTAATTTATTGCGAATTTTAAATGTACAACAAGACTCGGGAAAAAAAGATTATAAATAATATTCTTCGAAGAAACGTATCTTATGACATTTTTGAGCTTTTTGAGCTTCTAAATTTTGGCAGTTTCAATATCTATAAAGCAACTATTTTTTACTACAACTGATCCGAAGCTATTTTTAAAATTAAAGTAAAAATCTAGCTTTAAAAGAA